TTTTCATTTTTTGTTCTATTTATTTTTAAATTTCACATTTCTAATACAATTGAAAATGAAAACCTTTAAAAGAAGTTAAAAATTGTTGGCCAATTCTGATGGTGTGTTTCTCAGCTGTCTGTGCAGGCCTATGTAACCCTGTTTTGTGGGTCATCCAGGCTTAGAACTGCTGTATCTTCCTGATGAACGGACTAATCTGTATTTCTAGTAATACTGATTTGCTTTAATGCCTGTTGTGATTGATATTGATAAAGCTGTGCCTTTTTTCTTTTGGTTGGTGTTCCATAGATATATGCAATGTTTTTTCTCATTTCAGTTTCAACTTTATGTTTTGGGTGTGTTTCTGGAAGATAGCATGCAGCCCTGTTTTAATTTACTCCTCTTGGATGTTCTTGTCTTTAATAGAGCATAGCGGTATGGACACTTCTGAAATCCTGCAAATATTACGATGACAGTGTAATCATTGTGTTCATTTAGCTAAATAACTCAAAGGATCGCTAATATTTTAAAAGCACAAGGATACCTGTGAAAACTTGTTGGACTTTTATTGAACGTAGCTAGGAAGCATACAGCAGGAAGACAAAGGAGCTCCTTGGAGAGCATTTGATAAGCAGGGCTGTATGTAGTCAGTTGGGAAAGGAATGTGAAATCGTATGGGCAAGGTAGGTACCAGCCGGGCTCCCTTTCCACGGGGCAGTGACCGCGCCACCTCTGGGTCAGCCTCTGGGCCAGGCTCCGAGCCCGCAGACGCCGCTGTCCCTGGCCTTGTTCCATGGTAGTCGTTACCTGCCCCAGCGTCAGACCAGGTCGGGCAGCTATTGGAAAACACTCGAGGGTGGTGTTAATAAACAATCCAAGCATTATTGTTTTGCCTGTATCAAAGTTTGGGATGATGTTTTCCTTAACGATTTAACATCAAAATTAAATTTTTTTTAAAATCACAATGTGTGCATTATGGCCTTATTAATGTGATAAGGTTAGGGGTGATGTTACCTACAAAACAAACTACAAAGGCTAGAGGCAGTTGTAAAATAAACATTTGTACACAAGAAAATTAAGCTGTGGCATGGGTATTGTAAAACTTAGAATTGGCATAATTAGCTTAATAAAGAGCAAATGGTGGGAGATGACACATCTACCACACTCACTTTCATAAAGATGGAGGTCTGCCCCGGAATAGAGTCTGTTACTTAAGACAAAAAAATACACAAACTTCTTTGTGGTAAGCCACTGAAATTTGGAGTTATTTGTTACAGCAGCTAATGTTATCCTAACTAGTGCAAATAAACAAGAAGTGTCCAAGATTTACATGAAGAAACTTTATAAGTGTTTAGAAGAATGTATGAAATCTGAACAAATGGATACCATATTTATGGATGACAACTGACTACTGCCAAGATGTAATTTCCACCTAAATGTCTCTAATTTTAACATAATACTTTAAAATATATACAACTTTATCTGTAAAATCACACTAAGAAGATTAAAAAATAACATTTTGAAAGAGAATAGTACAGGGTAGGGACTTCCTCTATCAGACATCAGATACCAAAGCTTTATTGTAAGATTATGATTAAATCAGAAGTGGCCGTGTCATTTAAATAACAAACAGGTCAATGAAACAGAACAAATCGATCAGAAACAGACCCATGTACTTATGAAAATTTTGCATATGACTAAGTTGGCATTCAAATCAGGAAAGAAAGGACAAATAGAAAAATGTCGTTGAGACAATTAGCCACCCATTTTGAAAAATATAATGCTAGATGATTTCAACCTCACACCTTTTTCAAAAATAAATGACAATAACCAAACTACGAAGGGTTGTAGGAAAATCTACTTATATCCTTGGAGTTAGAGAAAATCATAAGAAAAAAATTAACAAATCTATCAAGTCACAAACTTGATAACATTAAAATAACCTATCATGTATGCCAAGACACCATAAACAAAGGAGAAACACTGCTACATATACAGTAGGCAAATAATTATTACCCAGAATATATAAAAAACCTCCTACAAATTTATAAGAAAATGACAAAACACCAGTAGAAGGATGGTCAAAGGGTATATACTGGTATTTCACACATAAACATACAAAAAGATACTCAGTCCCACCATTAATTGGAAAAATTAAAACAATAAAAGGATATCATTTCTTGACCATTAGATTGGACAATTTTGAAAAGTTTGTTAATATAAACTATTGGCCAGAGAGTAGAGAAATAGCTATAATTGTATTTTTGATGGTACAGTTTGAAGGGAGGACATTTGGGCAATACTGTTAAAATTTAAAAAGCATATACCCTTTAACACAACAATTCCACTTGTCTATCTACTCTAGGAATTAATTCACTTGTATATACAAGGAGCTATATAGAAAGGTTTTCTTTGTAGCATTATCAGTAATAAGAAAACTTGACAACAACTTAAATGCTCACCCATATGAACTATAAGCACCTGGAAGCAATAAAAAGAGTCAAGTGGCTCAGCATGAATTGATGTAGAAATAGGTCCCATGCTCAGGGATAAGACACAGCATTATGTTAAAAAGGTAGCACTTACAATGCCATTTGTAAAGTGTGCAAAGAAAGAAAATCCACAGCACACACATTTACTTCTGTATGTACTTATATGTGCGTGTAGATGCTGAGATAAAGTTAGGAAGGATCAACGCCAAACTCCAGGCAGGGAGAGCCTGTGGGGGGCGAGGAAATGGGACTGTGGTGGCCTCAGGGATGCCTTCTACAACAAGAATGCGCTGGTGTATTCAATAGTATAATTTAATAAGTCAAAGCAGAAAAATATGTAAACGCTGAGGCTTCCACCCCAAAGATTTTTATTTGGATGGTTTTGGTAGGAATTAGTGTTTTTTGACATCTTCCTGGGTGATTCTGAGACCATTGGCTTGAAGATCGAATTATTGGTTATTGTAGACCCTATAGTATAGTCTTTAATTCGGTTTCTTATGTTTCCTATAACATGTAATTCCTCATTGCAATGCTGGCATAGTGCTCGCTTCGACCACATATGTCCTAAAACCGGAATGATATAGAGAAAACGCGCCTGGGCCTGTGCAAGGGTGACATCCAAATTCATGAAACATCCCATACATTTGTCAACATGGAACATTTTCTGTTGTGTATTGAACTGTGGGGTTTGAGGTACAGACTTCTTGTGGCATCTTGTCTGATGAAGATGAAGAATAAATTCAGGGACTAACACATTTCTTTAATAAAAATGTAAGACCGCTCTCTCTCTCTCTCTCTCTCTCTCTCTCTCTCTAATGGAAAAAAAAAATCCTTCCTCGTGTCCCTTTTCTCCGGTTTATATATGTTGCAGTTCTTTGTTTGAACCTGACCCTCTCTAATTGGACCTTTCATTAATTTAGGGCCCCCATGCTTTCCTCATTGGTTACTTTGTTACACAGCATCAGTTTCAAAAGCCAAAGCCCAGTGGTGCCCCCTCTTCCTTTCCCCTTGTCTTATAACATTCCTCTATTCTCTGTGAAAATATGTTTCCTTCGTTCCATTATCCTGTGACTTTTCTGTATCCTCGGTGAATGTATGTCCTCCTCCCTCCTTCTCCTGTGGCATTTTTCTGTCTGTTGTACAAGTAAGATAAGCATTTTGGCATCTCCAAACTGCTCAGGTCAGGACTGCTTTTGATCTACCTTCCAATTGCTTTAATTGCTCATCCTTCACATATGCATGCCTCCCCCATGGACACTCTGTATTCCCAAAATCAGCCTATTTTGTCCCTAGAATTCCTTTCAGTGTAATTTACCACAATTTAAAAAGTAACAGTATAAGGCATTTAATTAAAATCACAGAAAAAGATTTTAATGAACTGGGTCCTTTGTCACTAACTCAGATGTCATCAGCCTGTTCTCATGATCATTGGTTTTCCTTCTGTCCTCGAGCAAAGCTCTAATTTTCCTCGCGTGTAGCATTGTTCGGTGCGAAGCCCACGTTAATGCATGCCATTCCCGTCCTGCATCCCTCGGCCCCCAGGAGTCGGGGCATATCTACCCCAAAGAGAATTCCTTGAGGGTCTCAGGGAAGCAGGCACGTACCCTCCAGTTGGGAGCCAGAGGACAGGCGACAGGGCTCAGGGCATGAGCATGTCTGTGCAGAGTGAACCACAAGGAGAGCATCCTTGTGAGCAGGAAGCAGCTCAGAAGGTGCTGCAGGAATCAGGTCTTTACGAGCAGTGCTGCCTGGGGCCTGTTATGTAAAGTACTAGAGGCCCGGTGCATGAAATTTATGTATGGTGGCAGGAGAGCGGGGGAGGTCCCTTCAGCCTAGCCTGCACCCTCTCCAATCTGGGACCCCTTGGACATCCCTCTCACAATCCTGGACTGCTGACTTCTAACCGCTCACCTGCCTGCCTGCCTGATCACCCCTATTTGCACCCCCTGCTGGCCTGGTTGCCCCCAAATGTCCCCTCCCCTGCTGGCCTGGTTGCCCTCAACTGCCCCCCGCCCCCTGTGCCAGCCTGGTTGCCCTCAACTGCCCCCCGCTCCCTGTGCCAGCCTGGTCACCCCATGCAGCCTGCTGTTCAGTCATTTGGTCATCCCTCATTGTCCCCCCGCTGGCCTGGTTGCCCCACGCAGCCTGCTGTTCAGTCATCCATCCGGTTGTTTTGGTTGTGACGGCCCCTGCCTTTTTATATATTAGGATAGTATAGCGTCTTCCAAATCCTGATTTCCAGCACCAGTCCACGCCCGAGCGGTCCCGATGAGAGGGCGTCAGGCTGTGGTCTGTACAAAAGGGAACATGGACTAGTTCCTCACACGTCATAAACACACGCAGGATTATGTCATGTTTAGCCTGGCCCAGGGCGGCTGTTTTGCTCAGAACCCAGAAATGTCTGCACATTTAAACCCAGAAAAAGCAAGCACCTCACCTTGGGACCCAGTGGGTGATGCCCCAATTCACCTTTCAGTCAAGCCTTCCTGTCTGCTGATTGTCTTCTCTCTTTTGGTTTTCCTATCCCAGCTAGCAAGGCAAGGCCTCAATGTTGTGCTGATCAGCCGGACGCTGGAAAAACTACAGGCTATTGCCGTGGAGATTGGTGAGCGACCCCAAGGAATGAGGGAAGTGCCTGTGGAGCCCTCTGGCCAGGTCTGCTCTGGTCCTGCCTGCAGAGGCACCGCCAGCATCCCCACCTGCTCCCTGGAGCCTGGGGTGCGGGCCCTTCTGCTGGAGCTCAGTTTACAAAGCTACGTGCGGGCTGTGAAGGGGGCGTTCGTTCACCGCTGCGTCTCTGGCGGGCGAGGCAGGATCAGAAGCAGCACCAGTAGGTCTTCTCTCTTCTCTGGTCCCGCGTCCTCATCTCTAGAATCAGACCTCCCGACCCAGAGGCCCAGCATCCTGGTGGCTTCTGCCACTCCCCATGGGACTTCCCTTCCACGTGTCTGTGCTCTGCTCCTTGCAGGAAGGGTAGGGGCGACGCTTCGTGGTGACACTCAGATTTTAAAAAAAAGACTTGGCTCAGGGCTGCTGTGCAGGCTGTGAAGACTGCACTGCACAACGCTGGGAGGCCGCACTCACAGGGCAGCGTGTCATTATAAAAAAGACTTGGCTCAGGGCTGCTGTGCAGGCTGTGAGGCCGCAACCCTGGGAGGCCTCACAGTGACACTGCACAACCCTGGGAGGCCGCACTCACAGGACAGCGTGTCATTACCATGACCCCCTCTGAAGTGTCCTTAGCTAATGACGATCACAGTATCCCTTTTTGGGATTTGCATTTTAATGATCAATTATTAATTTAGTAATTAACACACTCCTTAACTCAAAGGAATAGGCCTTTAATGATAAAGACTCGGGAAACCACGGCAGGCCGCCTGGGGGACAGTTTGTGTCCCTGGGGCGTCAGGGTTAGGAGGCGGACGGGGAGGCTCAGTGCCCTTGGGCCCATGAATTCTGTGTCTGGATATCAGAGGTAACTCTGACCAGGATTTGGGCATTCTTCAGTGCTCCTCCCGCAATGTTAAAGTGTGATTTTTATCGGCCTCTTAAAGAGCAAGCAGTGTCTTCAGTCTGAAAGCACCCCACCCCCAAACTATGCCTCAATATCACTTGCCCCAGAAATATTGGGTCTGGCTCCAGCGCTGGGAGGGGCAGCTGGTGACATCTGTGCTGCTTCCACATCTGGCTGAGCTCCTGCACAGGCAGGTTCACCGCACGAGGCTAGTTCACGTGGGAGAGTGGAAGGGCCTGGTGGGGAGCAGTGCGGGTGCCTCGGGCAAGGCATTAGCGTCTCAGCTGGTTTCTCCTCTGGAAAATGCGGACAGCACCTACTTGGCACAGTTGGAGAGAGGATTAAAATAGGAGACGGTGCAGGTAAATGCTTGGTGAATGCTGACGTGTTGGGCAAATGCAGAGGGTGGCTGTGTCTCTGTGGAGGGGCCCGATGCGGCACAGGGGGCCTCACACTGTGCTCCGCAGCCCTTAGACCAGGCCTCTCAACAGAGCGAGCAACACAGTCAGCTGGGGCGCGGGTGCAGAAGACCCCTGGGCCTCCCAGGGGTGCCTGGCTCTCTAGGTCCCGGGTGGAGCCTGAGGTTTTGTGTTTCTAACCAGTTGCTGGTGGTGCTGATGCTGTGTTCTGGGGACCCCACTTTGAGAATCACTGCGTTAAATCTAATGCGTGTACTTGTTACTGTGGTAACGCTCAGACCCACCCCTCTAGCACATGCCAGCTTTATCCGGGCTACTTCTTGTCTCTAATGGGGTGGTGGGCTTGTGCTCATAAACGTCGCTCATGGTGCGTGGAAGCGCAGGGGAACTCCACAGGCAAGAGGGGATTTGGACTCGTGATCACTGAAGAATAGCATTGTCTCGAATGCAGAGCGGACTACAGGGAGGAGTGTGAGGATCATACAAGCAGATTTCACCAAGGACGACATCTATGCGGATATTAAAGAAGAACTCAAAGGCTTAGAAATTGGAATTTTAGGTAAGCAAATTGCAATGCTCAAAGCGTGTTGCAATACATCAGTGCAATAACTACCTCGGTGACCCTTGATTATCCCACGGTGGCTTGAGCTTAACCCATAACTGTGTTTTAAGCTGTAGCATTAAGGAATATTAAAGTTCAGTTCTTCAAGAGGCGTTACCTGACTAACAGATTTATATATAGCTTTAGAATGTATCAGACTTACGTATTTCAACCTTCCCGACCGCCTTTCCTAATGTCAGAGAGGACGAATGTTCTCTCACTGACTGACACTGACACTCGGCAGGCAGAGGGAACCTCAGAAACACTCGCCGGAAGGAACACGTTACCCAACACACTTGGCTGTGATTGGCCCATGAAATGGCAGCGCAGTGCGCGTCCTTGCGAATTGACCACCTTATTCAGGACACAAGACGATGTTTTTTCTGTGATGATTATAAACACGCTACTTCATCACTATGTACACAGTACAATGTCTGTATTGTGCATAGAAAGAAGGTTTGATTTCTAAAGTTTCTGCTGAATTTAAAAAAATAACTAATTCTTTTTACTAATAACAATGAAAAACATATCGTTGCTGAAAAACTGGAAAGAGTAGAGAAGCATATAAAAGAATTATGAATTTCTTAAAATCCTGACTGCCCGAGAGAGCATTTTGGTGCATATCCTTCCAGATACATATTTTCTTTCTTTTTTTTTTTAAATATATTTTATTGATTTTTTACAGAAAGGAAGGGAGAGGAATAGAGAGTTAGAAACATCGATGAGAGAGAAACATCGATTCAGCTGCCTCCTGCACACTCCCTTTTGGGGATGTGCCTGCAACCAAGGTACATGCCCTTGACCAGAATCGAACCTGGGACCCTTTAGTCTGCAGACCAATGCTCTATCCACTGAGCCAAACTGGTTAGGGCCAGATACATATTTTCATATGTCTACATGGATCTTATGTGTTTACACATATTTATTTACATATTTACTTATTTTAAATTTTGTTCTTTCCATCACCACCTGTTCCGTCTGCGTGTTGTGCATTTTTAAAAGCCGTTCATCACACACGCTTTCCCCTGCCTTCAGCTGAGCAGCCGTGGTTGTGAGTGACTGCACTGCGCTCCAGCCGGGCTGCACCCCATTCCCTTCAAGTGCTTCCTGTCCCTGGACCACGATCTCTTCCCTCGGATCTGCTTAGTTATCAAATCATGTCGCAATGAACGACCTCGGGTATCAATCTTGTTGAAGGTATTTTCTTTTTAAAAAAAAATATTTTTATTGATTTCAAAGAGGAAAGGAGAGGGAGAGAGAGAGAGAGAGAGAGAGAGAAACATCCATGATGAGAGAGAATCATTGATCGGCTGCCTCCTGCACGCCCCCTACTGGGGATCGAGCCCACAACCTGGCACGTGCCCTGACTGGGAATCAAACCCTGATCTCCAGGTTCATAGGTCGGCACTCAATCACGGAGTCACGCCGGTCAGGCATGAAGGTATTTTCTTAAAAACACTTTCCAAGAGAAGAATTTCTGGGTTGAGTATAACTGTTCTTAAGGTTTTCAATAAACATTTGCCACTGGCTGTTCTGACATCTTTTTGTTTTGCCTCCCCCGGCAGTCAACAATGTTGGAATGATCCCCAGCCTTCTGCCGAGCCATTTCCTTAACACACCGGACGAAATCCAGGTACAGCTGTGCTTTCTGTGGCGCCGTCCTCTCAGCAGGGCCGGGGAGGGTGTCGGGACAGAATTCTGTGTCCCAGGGGGGTGTCTGGAGGTTTCCCTTTCTTCTCATCCTTGTACTTGGTCCACAGCAAGGCATCACTGCTCATGGCCATTTCTAAGATAAGGTCACCTCTCCCCTCCTCCACATCAGCACCTGCCTGCTGCTGCCCTAGTCTTTTTGGGGCTCTGTGCTGTGCTCATAAGGGGTAACCCTGCCTGAAAAATTTATGGCTGTGTATGCAAGTGGGAGAAGCTCTTTGGGTTTCTTTGTCTTCCCTGGTAATAAAATTTGTTCAGTGTTCAGCGTGAGGGAAGTCAGTGATACAAACTCTGCAGTTGAGGTATTTATTGTAAGTTCAGCAAGCGTGGCTCAGACCCATGGCCGCCATTGCTGGCCATGTGTGAATTTGGTGCATTTAGCAGCCCTGGAAGGTACTCCTTGTTACGTCTTCCCAGGCTCTGACCTTTGAGGTCATGGGGTCATATCCAGGCTGTCGCGCTCCCAGTCCCCGACTGTGCAGGTGTTCCCATGCTCCCATGTGAGCCCGAGCCTGCTGCCTGGGGCAGAGTGCCCACTGCTGGGACGTAGCTGCACACCCTTGCCATGCCCCTCCTCTCCATTAAGCAGATGCCATTCTTGCTTCTTTCTCTATTCATGTCTGTACTTGTGCCCGTTTCTGCGTCTACCCCTCTTTCCCTCTCTGTCTGTCTCGGGAGACTCTACTAGTTTCTTTATCTGGCCTCTGTAGCCCGGAACCTCCGCCTTATTATACAGCCACCGGCCTTTCTGTTCTCGCTGCCGCTGTCCCCTAGGCCCACGCACGCTACCCTCTTCCTCCAGCTGGAAAGTAACCACCTCCCTTGGAAAAACTGTGTCCACATTCCTCTTTAAATTTTTTGAGGAAACTCTTAGTAATTGACTTCTGTTCAAGATCACACTGTACAGAAACACAGTACAGACGGCAGCTATTTCCTGAACTTCCGTGAGGAGCCGAACGTGCCGGCTGAGCGAGTGAGGGAACAGCTCCGACTCATGCCTCCGCCCACTTTATGTTTCTTTAGCACCGGCTGCAGGTCAAGAGAATGTCTCAACTGATTTGTGGTTATGGTTGTTTATTTCAGAGCCTCATCCATTGTAACATCACCTCGGTAGTGAAGGTACGTGATCAGTGTGTGTGCCGAACGCATTAACATGGAGCAGCTCCCGGCATGTGGCAACGCAGGACACCCGGCCCTTCCCTGTGGAGGGGAATCTCTGGGCTTGAACTGCACTTGACTGCGAGGCTGTGGCGTGTCCTTCCAGTTGTCTTGTTCTGTTTTCATCCAGCGCAGGGAGGGATTCACGCTCCCTAGTGTTTGAGGCCTATTTCTGCCTTCAGTTTTGCCACATGTCAGAACATATTAGACCTGATGATGCTGAAACTGATTCTGGATTTCAAGGTGACTTTTTAAAAAATCCAGTACTTTCCTCTGATTTTATTCTAGTAAGTAGAGGAAAAGTCGCTCTGTTGGAGAAAAAGACAGAGGGCAGGCATGGATTTTATGGACTCTTGTCCATAAGTCCTTGCCAATTGGAATTCATGCATCTCTGACTCCAGCTCGGCCACCAGCTGGCTGGGCAGCTCTGGGCGTGCTGTTTAACTCCCTGGAATCTCAGATTCTTCATCTGCTCGAAAAGTGTGGCACTGTGTCGTGTCGGGCGCTGTTCAGCACAAGCATCTGTAGGCACGACTGCCACAGAGCTGTCCTGACTGTGCCCTGGAGAGAGCAGGGAGAAGGGCCCCTCCTGGGCAGGCAGCTGGGGAAGGTGCTGCTGAGGAGCAGGCCCAGCCGCCGCCTGCTGAGCGGATGGCACTTTTGTGTGAACACGGGTTTCTCTCCTCTGAATGGTTTGTGAGTGAACCCTGGGCTCTGAGCCCCCACTGACCGCACAGCCGGTGCCTGGCTCAGGCCACAGAGTTCACAACTGCGCCTGGCGCCCTGTGGCCACTCCCCGGGTCCCGTGGAACTGCAGCAGGGAGCCAGGCGTGACCCCTGGCTGCATGGGTCCGGACCCTGGCTGGGGAGCAGCAGGAGGTTCATCCTCATCTTGAGGACGTGGACTGGCCGTGGAGGCGGCTTTCCCACAGGAGAATCAGCTGTTCTCGACCTGAGGAGAGGGGATGGATGCTGAGTAGAGCCAAAAAAATTTTTTTTCCAGGTGGATAAGTTGGGCTGACAAAAATTGTTTTTACCATTGATTGTTTTTCTGTAAGCACAGTGGTATTTTACGTAGCCTGCCCAGTGTTCATTGGTACACACATTCTTTTAGGCTGAGCAATCAATAACTTTTCAAACTCCCAGCTGATGTAAGTTTTATATTTCCAACTGTTGTCAGTAGTCTTATCACTAAAATCTTTCACATTATTTGACACGTGAATCTCTCACTCTTGGTCCATTTGATCACGGGGCTTCCCAGATGTATTTGATAACCCCGACTCCTTTAGCAGAGGAATGCTTTGATTTGCTAAACAATTATTTTATGTATTGTTAGACACTAACTTCCCTAAATAACAGAGAAAACACACGGAAGGTTAGCTTATAAGCATGCCACCCCAGCTGTCCACGCTGGTGGGAGCCATGACAAGTACCCTTAATTATTCCACAGGAGCCGTCTGGGAATAGGAGAGACCCCTGTCAGGGCAGGGATGGGAGATGAGCTTGTGGGCAAAAGGAAGGTGAGGTCAGAGACTAAATATTGGGAGCTCTGTGACAAGACTCACAAACCCGACGTCTTCTCTCTAACCGGGATTACTCCCCCCGCGAGGCTAGAGCATTCAGCCGGGGGACTTTGAGGACATGCTGGCGTGCTCCTCAGTGACGCTGGAAAAGCCAAAGAAGGGTGATGACAATCTAGCCCTCATCCTTTTCTCACCTCCCTTCAAATCCAGGGTTTCAGGAGGCAGTCCCGTAGGTTCTAGGGACCACCCCCCACCACGCTCTGGAGGCCCCACAGATAGGGCGTGGCAGGGACAGAGCGCCCCCCCCCCCCCCCCCCCCGAGCTCCTGGGACTCCCAGGCCAAGTGCAGAGACTGGCAGAGCTAGTCTTCTGGCCCCTGGCCTTTTGATTTCTCTGCTTTGCCCCACCCGTTTGGTTCCTCTCTGTCTCAAACCTGCTCCCCAGACAGGGCCCCAGTCCACTCGGATGTACTTTTGAGAACCCTTTAGTCCACACAGTTGCCACCTCCTTAATTCTTAAAACGTGTGTCTTACAGTTACGATGTGAAAAGCTCTTTAATGGGATGTTTAAGCTCCAGAAGTTGCAGAAAAGACCTCTTTTGGGGGAGAAGGTTGGGAGGGGGAAGGGACTTCCCAATACAGTTGTAATTCTGACAGACAGACAGACAGACATGTCTGTCTGGGGAGCTAGCACAGACCACCTGCAGGTTGCTTATGCGGCCGCTGTTGGATTGACAGGTGTCCTCCCTGGTACTTGCGATGCTCATGGACACCTGCGTGATGTCCTGACGCCCCCCAATCCTAACTCATGGCTGAGGCTTGTGATGAGCAGCCTCCGCTTGCCTGTCTCCTGGGGTAGAGAGTATCCGGGACCCTCAGTGGTGACCCCTCACCAGGACAATTACCGTAATTTTTCACTGCCCTCATTTTGCAGGAAGACTGGAGCTTTAGCAGGAGAAACCAGAGGCCTCTGAGCACTTGGCCATTTTCTGAGTTGCATCCTGTAGGTTCCGACCTGACTCTAGTGTCGCCAGAATGACCTCCAATGCGTGTGGCCACCTGAGAAGATTAGGCAGTTCCCCAGCTCCCTCCCACACCCACTCCCCCAAGTTGCACGCCCATTGCTATTTGGTTCCTTTGTCAAGGCTTAACGTTGACCTTCTCTTGTAGATGACCCAGCTAATTCTGAAGCACATGGAGGCAAGGTAAGGCCTTTCTTTGAAACAGTGGAGCGCACGGGCTCCCTGGCCTGGCAGGCGGCGGGTGTGGAGGCGGGGGCTGGGGCGCCTCTGGCTGCGGCTTTAACAAGTGATAACACTGTGATGACCGGACATGGACATTACAGGGGAAGTAACATTCTGCCCCGGCCAGCTTTGCAACACACAGCATATTGAAGGTCAAGTGTAACATACACTGGAGGGAGGAAGAGAACAGCGGATTCAGCACACATTGTAGTTAAAAATTAACTTACTTTGAGCATAAAAGAAACTTCAGAAGTTGGCCTGAGACCAAGACCATCTCTTTGTTATTATAAATTTCAGCTCTTGTCAGAATGAATACTCCAGTTTAGTGGTAAAAATCAGAACCCCATCAGCACCCCATCAGCACCCCATCAGTGCCTCCATGTATGCCACGTCTTTATCACCCTGTTACCCACCTCTGGGAGCCGTCCTCACACACCCACAGGAGCCGGTCTCAGGCACCCACGGGAGCCATCCTCACACACCCACGGGAGCCGGTCTCAGGCCGTGTTCATGAACAGCAAGTGGCCGATGGCTTTGTCCTCCCTCGAGGAAGCGAGGCTGGCCCTGCTATTCTAATGTGCAGTTTCGTGGTTTTTCTGGATCAAACCGGTCTCGTTGGGGTGGATTAAAGAGATTACATTTCCAAAGGGCACTTAGGGGACCCGGGACTTGTGAGGACGCCTGTGTGAGCAGGTGATGGGCCATCCAGTTCCACCCAAGACTGACGGCATCTGCCTGTTGTGGGTCCTCAGGGCAGAAGGGCCCTGAGCGCCTGTGCCCGCGCTCGAGGGAGAAGGACCCCCTCCCCTCCTGTCTGCGCTCAGTGGGTTCCTGCGTTCCGGTGGGCCCCTTGTTGCAGCAGAACTTGTTTCTAGTCACAAGCCCTGATGCCCACTGACTGCCCAGGGTCAGCATTGTGGGGCCGTGGCCCTGAGGGAAGCAGAGAGGGGTTCCCCGATGCTCACACGAGCCCCTTGGTTTCTTCCTTCGCACGGAGCCCCCGGGCAGCACAGCCCCTGAAACTTTGCTTCTTTGCCTTTTAGGAGGAAAGGGCTCGTCCTGAACATTTCTTCCGGGGTGGCCCTCTTTCCCTGGCCTCTCTACTCCATGTATTCGGCTTCCAAGGTGAGCAACAGCATGGAGTTCCAGGCTCCTCCTCCCTCCCTTGCTGTTCCCAGTTGCCATTTTCCTGTGGCCCATCTGGCCAATCCATGGGCAGATCGCCAGGAGGCGCTCTCCTGTGTCCAGGGCGGAGCTAGTCAGCAGGGGTTTGGGTGCATAGAAGAAGGCACAGCCCCGGCTGACGAAGGCCTGCAGCAGCACGGAGGGGGAGGGGGCGCAGGCGGGTGCAGCCCTGGCCCCAGCCCTCACTCACCTCCTTGCCTGGGAGCCCTGCTGTCCACTGTGGTTTCTCCCTGCTCTGGAGGCCTAGCCAGGTGTCCCGTGCCCTCGTCTTAAAAACAAACTCGGGGGGGGGGGTTGCTCTACACAAGGGACAGCCCCCCACCCTGGGGTTGGGTCATGTATGTGCAGTGGCCCGAGGTATGTATTTATCCCCACCATGTGTGTTCCCATTCATTGCGGGATCTCTTCTCAGACCAAGAGATGAAGTCCTAACTCGCATCAGAGAAGCAGCCACGTTTTAAGACAACGTGGTGGGCTCCTGCGGGGCCTCTGGAACCTGCAAAGTTGGTTCTGACGGAGAAAGCAAGCTCCGGGCCCTGAGGTGTTTCTCCTTCTCGCTCCAGGCTTTTGTGTGCACGTTTTCCAAGGCCCTGCAAGCGGAATATAAGGAGAAAGGAATAATTATCCAGGTGAGGCTGACAGTTCCAAGTCCCCTGAAGAGGCGCTCCAGGTCCCTGTGGAGCCGGCCACTGCCTCCTGCAGAGCTGGTGCTGAAGTGCAGCGGGAGGAGTGGTCTGCATGCCTCTCCGGGGTTCCTGCCACCTTGTACTGGCCGCTGTGCCACTGTGGCTGCTCCTGCTGCCACCCTCTGCCGTGCCTTGGGCTGGAGCAGGAAACGGGGCAGGGCGAGTGAGTGCCCAGGAGCGCTGTCGGCCCTCTTGCTACCCGATGCTGCATCACGCCAGAAGTTGGGGCCTGGTCGGCCATGCTTTCCTCTCTGCTGTAGGTACGGGAGACGGGCTTATGTGGGAGGATGGTGGAGAGGGAAAGAGAACACTGGGCACCGGTCCACGTTGGAAGGGGTGGGGGTGCCCCCCTTGCGGGCTGCTCATCTGTGCTGGGCCCCAGAGGTCCTCACCCCTGGCTCTGAGCCGCGGGAAGAGGGGCTCTGCCGCCCCTTCACCCACAGCCGCACATCGATCGGGCTGTCCTGCTGTCTGTAGGCTGAGCAATAGGACATCTTGTGTCAGCGATGTCCATACGGTTGGCTTGGCAACACGGAGTCAAGTGATTTCTAGGACCTGGAATAAAAGGTGTATTTGCAGGGTTTCTTTGTTGTTGTTTGGGAGGAAGTTGTACGGCATATATTAGAAGTGGAAAGGCTCACTCACCGTGACATCTTTGTTTTTTTTTAAAAAAATATGTTTTTATTGGAGGGAGAGAGAGAAACATCAATGATGAGAGAGAATCATTGATTGGCTGCCTCCTGCACCCCCCCTACTGGGGATCGAGCCCACAACCGGGCATGTGCCCTTGGCCGGAATCAAACCTGGGACCCTTGAGTCCACAAGCCAACGCTCTATCCACTGAGCCAAACCAGCTAGGGGTCACGTGACATCTTTAAAATCATTGGTGTGCATGTGGATTTCAACTAAAATGCTCACGGGTATGAGACTATCTCAGGTGGCTACGTTATAAATTAACCAGTGACATCTTTAAAATCATTGGTGTGCATGTGGATTTCACGGGTATGAGACTATCTCAGTTGGCTACGTTATAAATTAACCAACTATAGGTAAAGCTTATTCAAAAGGCAGATACGAATTAATGGTGAGAACTTTGCAATTAACATTGACTTCCCGCCGCTGAGTGACGGGAACAGCACACCATGCCGCTAGGCCACTCGCTCTTTGCTCTGCTGACTGAAGTCCCGCCCATCAGGGATTTCCCTTCCTGCCCATCTTCCAGCTCCCAGCTGCAGACGGATTCCTTCTGCACAAGTGCTACCCCATGAAGGTTGTTCGCTGCAGTAAAAAATAACCCTTGACATCTCACTGACTTCCAACCACAAAGATTTATTTCTCATTCATGATGCGCATCGACTGGGAGCTGCCAGGGCATCAGCTCTGGGTAGCGACGCAGGGACCGGTGGATGGAGCAGCTGCTCTGTGGGTATTGTGAGCTGACACACCAGGGCAACGTGGTAGCAGTTCTAGAGGGGCTTGCTTTGATAACGAAGGGCTCTGGCTCAGAAAAGACGCCGGCCCCACTGGGGATGTGCCCGCAACCAAAGTACATGCCCTTGACCGGAATCGAACCTGGGAGCCTTGAGCCCACAGGCCGACGCTCTATCCGCTGAGCCAAACCGGTCAGGGCCAGACAGATTCCTTTTGCACAAGTGCTACCCCATGCAGGCTGTTCGCTGCAGTAAAAAATAACCCTTCACATCTCACTGACTTCGAACCACAAAGATTTATTTCTCATTCATGATGTGCATCGACTGGGAGCTGCCAGGGCATCAGCTCGGGGTAGTGACGCAGGGACCCGCGGATGGAGCAGCTGCTCCTTGGGGGTTGTGAGCTGACACGCCAGGGCAACGTGGTAGCAGTTCTAGAGGGTCTTGCTTTGATAACGAAGGGCTCTGGCTCAGAAAAGACGCCGGTCACTTTGGCTCATACTCATGGGCCAGATCTGGTCACATGGTCCCACCCAACCATGTGTAATTCTATCACGTGTCTGGAGGAGAAAAGAACTAAAAATACTTGGTGAACCACACGAATGCTTACCAGAGCTACTTGCTTACCAGTCATATGACAGGCTTAGCATCACCATGATCTTGAGAACTGTGGTGAGAGAGGCTGGGGCTGCCAAGTGAGTGGGTTCCGTGGGGCAGCAGGGGGGGGAGGAGGTGGGGGAGGGGAGGGGCCCCTTCC